ACCAACTGAAAACATGGAACACAAACTATAAACGTTGATGGGAAACTTCAATGAAGAGCAATGAAACATCAGACTGTAATGTTTAATATTTTATGAGTGTTTTTACCGTTTGTAGTCAAGTTAAGGTTGAGAACTTGTTTAGGAAATGAAACAGTTACGTTAACATTTTCAATCTAAATCAAATATGGAAGCTTTCAGTGATATGACCCTGAAAAAGTTATCATACAGCACATTTGATTTAATATTATAATGTTTGAACGATATAGTTAGTTTTATACACGAAACCTTGATAGAACATGAAAAAATTGGAGAAGTTTACGTTATATCTTGAACTTTATAAATGTAAGAAGATGTAACAGCTTCAACATGACTATACTTATACATACATGAAGTGCATTCAGAAACATACTCCAAATAAAAGGTTCATGTTCATCTCAATATTTGAGAAACAAACAAGACAGTTTTTCTTTCATACACTAATAGTTCAAATTTATTGCAAACTTAAGAGTCTGATGACAAAAACATGGCTAAGAAGTTTGCTATAAGAAAGGTTCTTACTTGCTGTCTCCAGTAACTTTATTAACAACATTTCTAACTATACTAGGAGGTCTTATCAACTCTTTAAGAACACTTGATTCTGTTGCAAGAGAAAATCCATTATTTAATATCTCTTCTAATAACTGAAGGATATAAAGATATAATATCATACTTCACATCACACAAAGCAGAAAATAATTGGCATTCATCTATGAAACAGCTGGATTCTCTACAAAATAGGCAAATAAGTCTTGTTTAAATAAACCTCAATGACATAAATATTCTTTGATTAAGTCAACCACTCGATGAAGAAATTCAATCACAAACAAAGGTGGAACTGGAAAGGAATGTTTTCACTTTATCAATAATAATAATCATGACAGACGGCTGAATTATTTTTGTCAGCCATTCAGAATGCCTAATGTATGCCTTTTGTAGAATGATAACACTTCCTTTCAATGTATATATGTCAGTATGCAGTACTCTTGCAATCAATACTGGCAATCAATCTCTTTCCATTGCCATTGAAATAACCTTTAAAACAATATTCATCAAATTTGATGTAATATAAACACAAACCTTCATTTTCAACAACAGAAACAAAGAAGAGATCATGGCGAAATATACTGATAAGATAACTAAATCCTGTTGCAATTACAGGAGGAATGTCTTCAGGAGATTCGGCCTAAAAATAAAACTAAAAAGTTGATATATGATTTGGTTAGATGCATTTTCCTTTCCTTGAGCTTCGAAAAAATAATCACAAACAGAGCGTCCTAAAACACTTCTCCAATGTTTTTCCAGAAATATATCCTTAAATGTACAAGAAGGATATAATATAACCCACTGTCACCATCTTTAGTGTACAGTAATGTTGTGATAGCAAGTAAATAATTATGGAGACTGATATCATTGCAATGCACTTGGATACATCTACCTGACGTCAAAAACTGTAAAATTACTGATACCAGCTATTGTTTTATGATTTTCTTTTGATTTTGTTACTTCATTAACCATGTCACGTGATGATAGATGACTCTCAATCCCATCCTATGTTTAATTTAAAATGTCTTACTAGATTTTTGCTATTTCATATCTCACTCATATAAGCATAAATAACTTGTCACCTCAATAACAAGCTTTATGAGTGGAACCAACTAAAGAATAAATTACAAAAACCAATTCAGTACTCGCCCTGAATGGTTGATGATAAACAAATTTACAATGGTATTTCTATTCAAAAAGAATGATAGCACAACGCTATAACGAACAACTACAAACAATAACGACCTTATCTAACAACATTTGAGAAATTAACCTTCCACTCCTCTTCCTTGTAAACCAGACAAGTCTACTCAAAAGCAGAGAGTCTTATACGCTACAAGTCCCGGGCTTGTGACCGGTATAGCAGAGTTAAAAGGTGAAAGGTTTATCATAGATTAATCAACTGAATATTCCTGCTCATTTTTTGTTTGGAAGCATGTTGAACAGTTCATATGGACAAAGCTCGAATTAACGAGCTTAATTCGACACGATCACGAATTCTATTCAACGATCACGATGTTTCCATTTAACAATAGTAAATATTCATCTTCCTAAACCTAAAGAATACTCGTTGTCGTAGTCATACTCTTGCTGAAGCTCCCTAATGTCTCGAGTCGGCGAGTCCGTATCAACATGAGGAAAACTTGGTAAAATTATGTATATTTGTGTATATCATATTATGCAAGCGTGAATTGTATGCTGACAATACCATTCAGTGTATTGTAAGATTGTAAGATATTGTCAGCACACGCTAAACAAAGATACACCCAGGATACTGTACGTGTCTTCCACGCTAGGAATCACGAAGAAGTATTTTTACTGCAATATCTGACAATGGTTAAAAGTTACATTAACACACAGAAAACACACACTTTACTTTCTGTTGCTTATTGAAAGCATATTCTATGAGTTCGATTCAGACATTTTCCATATTTTTATAGTTAATCATACCTTTATTTTACTTTTACCTTCTCATGTCATCCAGTTTACAATAAATCCAAAGGCATACATGAAGAACTAAATATGTTTTACAAAAAATCAGGAGTTTTTAATTCGTTTGTCACTTCTGTCATTATGAATTGAATTTCTTAAGGTCTTATGGGGGGTCATGTAGATTTAAACCAAACATTTAACGTAATAAAGCTAGAAAAAGTTACACGATTTAATATCAAGCAAATCGTATTTTTCTTGTTTAGCATCCATACTTCTTTGAGACGCCAGGGAATATACAAAAATAATTCATAAATTCTTGATTTGCGCACATTTACTTCCTTTTTACGATTATTTTTTATTAGAATAATTATGTTGACCTATATCACGATAAAAAGTTAATATTTGAAACATACATCCAAAAAGTTTTTCTAAAAAACTGTCAATAGCTTAAAAAAATGCTTACATCTTGACAGCACATATGAACCAATCAAAAATATTTATATTAGGACAAAATTACGTATCCATATGCTTCAAATTTATGTTTTGTCACTTTTGTGTAGATCTCTACTTTACACTCAACAGATCAACTTTATTATAACTTGCTGCTACATTATCTAGGAATGCTGCAGTTGCTGTATTGAATGAAGCCTGCCAGCTAATATCAAGTAGCTTATGGTTTATTTAACAACAACTGTCGTTTTTATCGACTTTTCTTGTTGGTCGTCTTTTTGTAAACTATTTTGCTTCTGTTCAAATTGCTTACTGGACCATATGCATAAGGTCCAGTAATGGTAAATCCCAAACAAAACCACAAATCATCCCAGCTGATGTGTGGATATTTTTCATTGTCAAAAGGAATCAAGACGCCTCGATAAGCTAAGACTCCATGTTTGATTTTCTTTCCTACTAAGCGTTCTAGCTTCTCATAAACTGTTTTGCTGCGCCAAAATTTTCAGTCTGAATGAATCGGTTGTCTGTAATTGGTTCATGGTTATGATTGAAAACTTTCACCAATGGAAAAATTGATCTCGCCCGATACTTTTCCCCAGTGGAATAATTGATCTCGCTCCAATACCTTTCCCCAACAGATATTCTGCCCCAGATCTTTGCGATGCTGTAATTATTAACGTGATTTTCATTCGACATTCAGCTATTGCCTTAATCACAACGTCAACATCGGTTTTCAGCGAATTGTTTGGAATAGGAAAATGGATCATATAATTGAAGACATGTGCCCAAGATGACTTAGGGCGTGTCTTGAAACATGATTGCAACATATTTGACAATGTGTCGATGTCATTTTCTTGTCCAATCGCTGCTTTGACATACGTGAGCAGTGCATTATCAGAGTTAGTTTAATGTGGGACTTCGTATTTAAGGAGGTTATAAATTTTTTCAACATGCTGCGGAGTTAGCCTTGCCCATGAGCTGAAGGGATTTTTGTGATGTTGGTACAAAATGTCGTTAACAATATCCACTGTCAAAACCTACCCCTTTTCAATCCTTGTTCCATCAAGATTTGTAAAACTTTGTTGTCAACTTCATTAGTCGGATTTGGGCATTTCCTAATAATAATTCCTAAAAATAATCACTAGAATCGTTGTCAAATCTAGAACGAATGTACATTTCTTGTAATGTTCACTGTAGATATGATACAATGCCTCATGCAACATGAAAAATGTAACATGTAACAGCATTTTAAGTAAGACGAAGATTTGGAGATGACATTTATAAAGCCTGCATGAATACAAAGTTAAGGTTAATCCAATGATATAACACAGTTTCTGGAAACGTTGAATGATAATACTTCCTAGCAATATATGCTGTATTCTTGCAATCAAGACTGACATCAATCTTTTCCAATTAGAGGCAATGGGTTCAAGATACACATTAATAAGAAATATTAATCGTCATCTCAAACAAACTCAAACCTTCATTTTCCACAACAGAAAAAAATCAGAGATCATGACAGATAATCAAATCCTGTTGAAATTACTGGAGGAATGTCTTCGTGACCTTAAAATGAATGACGATAGTTGATTTGATCTGCGTAGATGCACTTTTGTGAGACGAATCTATAATAGCAACTGTTCATTAGAGTAACTTTAAACTTCTCAACCAAAAAAGCACCAACAAACAATTGTCAATCACCAACAATTAACACATAAACTCATTCACCTTTCCTCGAGTTTCAAAGAAATAATCACAAACAGAGCGACTTAAAACACTTTCTCCAATCTTTTTCCAGAAATATATCCCTAAATATACGTGGAAGACATCAGATGACCCAGAGTAAGCATGTTTAGTGTACGGTAATGTTGTGATAACCAAAGAACAGTGGAGCATAATAATTTTCTTTAAAACGCCTTAACTTTTGTAAACATACTTACGGCTACCCTATACGACTCGCTTTAGAAATCTTTTCCAGCTTGAAATAGAAAAGATGTTCATGTTCTTAACATATTCAAATTTTATGACAAAGTATATAACAAACATTACATTTATTTGCAAGATGCTCTGCGATTATAAATAATACACAATTCCCTAATTCCTTTTCATGCATTCACGTCCTACATCAATTAAGACCTGTACATACATATATGATCGAATTTAAGTTAATTATTAATCCATACTTCAGTGACTATACATTCAAGATATGACTTTATGAACCAATTTCTTGGTCGTTGCTCAAATTAACAATTTGATTAGTTAAAAGTATGTTATACTTCATTTTCCATCAAGATAACGGTTGTCAATAATATCTTAACTTTTCTTTCCACTGACTTCCTTAAATTTCCACCGCATTCATTTTCCTAAAAACGTTTGCAACGGGAAAATATAGAACTTCATTTTACTTAACGTTGAGAAGGTTGGAAACATTTATACAATGCTTAAAACATACATCTTAAAGAGTAGAAAAAAAAGTTCAATGTGACAGAGAAGTATGTTATTATGCATGGAACTCAAACATGGCAAAGTCGTAAAAATGGGGTATTATTTAAATAGCTTACAGGTAAAATGTTGTTGCAATTTAGGTCTTGTTTTCCAGTCAGTCGATCTAATAATTTTGTGCACCAGTAGAGGAAGTTCGGGAAAACGTTGCATGAAATACTCTTTATAGTTTCCTTCCTTGATATATGGCGATAGACGTGAACGAGGATTATCATACCAGTGCTGATCAACGTTACGTATGAATCTCAAACAACTTGCCCATGAAGACTTGTAGGTTACAGTCCTTTTTTTGTTGTGTTCTTCAAATGTTTTTAAATCTTTCAAAACTTCGTCATGGATACGTTTCATCCATTTTGTGCGACGATTCAACTGCTTACGAACATCTGAATTTTGACATTTTGGTTGTTTTATCTCAGGTTGGTTCCCAACATCACACAGCATGTCAAACTTTTCCTCATTGGATCGTAGATAAGGATGTTTTAACGCCTCGTTGGCTGGTGGCCTGTCTTCTGGTTTTAGTTGTAGCATCCATGAAAGAAGATCTTTAAGTTGAACATCATCGATTTTCTTCAAGCCAACAGGTTTTCCATCTAACAAGTTTTTCAATCTATACTTTTCAGTTCCAAAAGCATGTTTCCCTTTTGTTGCAACATAATAAGCCACCATTCCTGCACTCTAATATTATTTAAAAAAAAACCATAAATAATCACAACATCAACTGTAGATACTGAAATGATAAAAAATTGAGTATATTCGCTATTTGCAGAACTGAACAATAGCTATATATTTTTCAACGAACATATCTACCATTATATCAGACTCTTTCTTGTAACGACCATCACGCAAGGATTCAGGAGCGGACCAACCAAAAGTTCCTTTACCAGGACTGCTTCGATGTGTTGATTTACTTTTCAATATTTGACTAATGCCAAAGTCAGCTATCATAAATTTGCCTTCCACGTCTTGAAGAACATTAGAAGGCTTTAAATCTCGATGAAGAATAGAACTTGGGCCACTATGAAGATCAGATAATCCATTTAAAATTTGTCTAAGGATTTCGGTAAGGGCTTCGTGAAGTTTATCTAAACTAGTAGACTCAACAAAACTTGTCAAAGTTTGTTCGCACAACTCTAATATCAAATAGACAAAATCTTCTCCTTTCTCTTCTACGAAGTTCCAATACTTTACAACATGCTTCGAGTTCTTTGCCTTTGGCTCAGCCAAAACATTCTTTTCTTGTAGAGCAAGGTGGGATAAGCTCTTTTTTGGGATTTTTTTTACAGCTTTTCCATAACCATCATTTCCCAAACCAAGATAAACACAGGTTCCACCACTTCCTTCGCCAATCAAGAACTCGTCCATGAAAATCACACGTACATCGCCTTTAATTCTAATATCACCTGGATGTTCAAGCCAATGTTTTTTCATCATTTCAAACTTTTCGCGATGCAACACTGATTTGTCAACGCAATTCCATTCTTGCGACAACCCAACTTAAAATAATTGTAGGCCATTTAGCAAAATATAAAAAATAGTCAAATAGTCAATAGACATTTCAATATTTCTAATATTAATGTGGTGTAAAAGTTTTCATTAGTCTAAAATTTCAGTACGTTTCAAGTGCAAGCACAAATCGTGGTTTCAAAGTACATTTGCTACACAATCATGAGCAAATATTTAAAATTGCTTAAATATAAACTGCGAAAATGTGACCTACCTTTTAACTTTAGATAATCAACAGGAATGTGGATTCGATATCTAACATTTTTATTGCAAACAATTAGCTTTATATTTCAAATAGTATCTTACCAAATTTGTGATATTCATTGGTGTACATCTGGACTAGAAGCTTCAGATTGAGTATTTTGTTGTCCGTTATCTCAGCAATTTCAAGTTGGCTTAAATAAGTGTATGTCTCTGTAGTAAAAAGTACAATAAATACTATTAACATAATTAACATAACAGTAACCATTGCAACCAGACTGCAAAAAAATCGCAAAAAATTGAAATTTAACTATTCTAATCAGGATAACGTTAATTGGCTGCGAATTATAAGAAAGTATTACAGTTGCGACTCAAATTTACTATTATTAGTCACACAATAAGAATTTTTTTCAAAATATGTAGCATTAACAACTTTATTATTCTATTTTTCATCGAAACACTCAGAGATACTTGTAACCACACTCCACCCCCTGGAGAAGTCGCAAATGACACTGAAGTTGTCAGATGCTCATCATCTTTTTGTAAACAGGGCGTTTTTTAGTCTATTATATATTTGTTAGCTTTTGACGCACAATTGTTTTGTATTTGTTCAAACTTGGTCCTTAAAAATCAACGTTTGATTTTATATTTGGTAAAGCACATGACGTAGTTTCTTAAGGTACGTTTACACAAAATGTTTTGTCCAGCCGACATTTACAGGACGTTTACACACAACGATTTGTCGGACCGACACTGACGCCATATTACGTATTCTTGTCATACATGGAAAGTCGCCGGACTCGAAAAATCGGATGAAAATCTGTAGCAAACTATAGATTTGTTACCCATTTTTACTATGTTGCTATAGTTTCTAAAATAAGCAAATTATGACCATCGAAAATAATTATTGAAATGTCTTCTGTCGAAACAGAAAAAGAAAGTGTTGAGAGCATTGTTGTTTTCATCGAATAACCAAAAGTTGCAGAGTATTTTATATTGCGTCTTTTAAACATATACAATAGTGAAAAGTGTATATTAATATTACCTGTATGACCTAATTTATATTGTATTATCAATTGTCATTACCGTTGTCATATTAAAAACGTTTCGACCAGTAAAATATTAAAGAAAAATTGAAGGAAAATAAAATGACACAACTTTTTACCATTATAAGAGGCAGTGCGACCATTTTCGTCACGGTTGGTGTTGTTCAACGCAGTGTCATCGTCGATGTGTTTATCACTAACGGATAGAGTGTCACCATTTTTCCTCGGTTTAAAAAACTGACCACCCTGTAGGCCAAGTTCTTTTAAGGCAATGTTTAATCTAAAGCAGATATAATATGTCCCGTGATTATTAGTTAATTCTGCAATTCCATACGCAAACGGTTGCCAATTATTTTTTTCATCCAAAAAATAAACAAGAACACCAGCGTCACCATCCTGAAGAAATGACTCATCACTTTTTATCATGATAACACTACGCAAAATCACATGTTCTTTGAACAAAACTGAATACATAAGGTCACACAAGTAGCCCTCAGTACCAGTGGCTGTGCAAACTTTCACAGATTCCCCTTGGCACAGCCTTTCGTGAATTTTGCTAAATACGTCATCAAAGTTTGAATTAACATCTTCCAATTCATCACCAACAAGCTTCTGAAAATCCTCTTTATTGCCAACAGTGATAGACATGATATCAATTTCAGGACCATAAGAGAAGTCAGAAAAATGACCAACCAAGCTGTCATCATCCGAGAAAGTATATTTATTTTTAAGCAATAAACGTTGAACGCTTTCTTTGTTTTTACTAATTTCATCTTGAATCGCAAGAAGGTCATCATTCAACTTCACATGAGGTGCATAACCAACGTGGAAACAAGTCAACGCGTAATATTTTTCATCTTTACGGCAGAACAGGGTCAACTTACCGCGAGACCGCTCACTAGGCATATCGTAGTGTTGAACACAAATCATACTTGACAGTCGTTGAAATTTTCTTTTCGTCAACGTAATTTCTCATTAATTTGTCATATCAGTATCTGTAATATGTAAAAATTGATTATGAGAAAGATGAGAAAGATGCACATTATATGTGTTAAAGCTCAAAACCATCGGTTTACACAACTGGAATAGAGAGAGGGGGTCAATGTCTTTCATTTTTCAAACAAGCATCATTTTTAACTATTTTTACATAAATGTTTTTACTTGTCACAAACAATTAATCTTGAAAAATTTTTATAAACGTTTATTTTCACCATGCTTTATAAATCAGAATTATGGGTGACTTACTTGTAATTAAAAGCGCAAAGAAATCCTCCAATACCATCCAACTGTTTCAGTCTGCATGGTTATCACTTTTTAAAAACATCAAATAAAAAGAAAATTAAAAGGGACGGATTTTATGAGAGAAAATAGTTATCATTAACCAACGGACTAACACATTTGCTGCACTGACACAAAAACTCTTCTCTGAAAAAACGTGATTTGTCTAGGGAACTACATGAATTAAGAGTCAATGTAGTTCAAATTAAGTATAAAAAAGCATAATGTAACCATTAAAAGTGAAATTTTTTTTAAATAAACACTTTTAGAAGTGGACTTAATAAAATAGCCCCGTTTTCTTGTAGATTTTTCATAAGGTAAACATTATTCGATAACACATTTGGGCTAACCATATGTATAAAATATTCGAACAGCAAGCCTAAAATAACCTAAACAGTCATATTTTAGTTTCTACATGTCTCACAAGTCCAAGAATATTAGAATTCTAGATTCCACAAGTGAATAAAGTAGAAACACCAAACAACTTTATCTATTGTAAGTATGCTGCATAAATATACCAACCTTTCGGAAGTGGACTTAATAAAAAACCGTTGCCAACATATAACTCAAAGAACAAAATAAAGGCGCCAATTTTTTCAATATAGAGGTATATGAGGTTGACCAGGATCAAAAATTTTAAAATGTCTCGTAGTACAAAGCCCTCGGTGCAGTCCAATCTTAATTCGTATGTAGTTTCCAAATAAGGAGGTACCCACACGTCACAATGCATTGTAAATTGCAACTTACATGACAAACTTATTATAAACCCCAAAGTTCAGGTCTACAGCGCGATGAATCTGTGTCAAAAGAGAATCACAAGACGCACCAAGAATCAAATTCTTATAATCCGTTGGTCTTAGTTAGATAGTATACGGAAAAAGCGCATGATTGAATCTTTGGAAGCTTCAAAAGATATTCATTTGATAAAAGTTGCATTTAATCTATTCAAGATTGAGGTAATGCAGCATAGATAATTGGTTAATGATAAACTATCTCAAAAGTTTGATTCTACTAATTCTCAGCAATAAGGTGCTTCACCTTTATAAAATAAACTTATCAACCTATAACTCATTCATCTTTTTACAAGGCTGTCCATGCCAGATTCACAAGTTAACCATTTCTCGTTGATCTATGATGTAAATGGCATTTGTAATTCCTAGGCATGCTAATGAGCCCTGACATTGGGCGACAGACAAAATAAATCAATGAAATAAATTAATTAGTTGAAATAAATTAATGATTTGATTTGATTTGATTTGAAATGAATAAATGATTTTGAGAACTCAGATGTGATCGATTTTAAAATTTCGCGGAGTGCATCAACCATAATGACACCACCGACTTATGTTAGCACCAATCATTTTAGTAATTCATGTTTACAATCGCAATAGCACGACTAGTTGTTTTAGTCTAGCTACGCCACTGATGTCAATCTTTTTTTTTTATAAGCCAGTTCAAAAAATTGCCAACTTTAGACAGCAAAATTTTCCTGTAAGTGTATAAAAACAACACACACTTAAAAACATTTTCAACAAACCATGCGTGTTCAAAGACTTGCCAACTTTATGAAAACAATCGAAACTTAACGACAATTTGAAAACGTCATGATCATTTGAACGATAAATATGATTTTCAATATCGTCATTATCCCAGCAGTGAAAGAAACTTGTTTTTACTTGGATAGGAAAATGATAATATTTGAAGAATGCAGATGTTAGAGATAAAGATTAAATCAATTTAGCTCAAACAAAAGCTTTAAGACAGTGTAAAATCTGTTGAAAGCGGCGTTGCAATACATTTCTTTGTTAGAAAAGAAAAGATAATTAATAAAAACATATATTATTCATATTGTATTCATAATGCATTCATATCCAACTGCGAAAAAACAAGTCATTTTAATATTCTCATCATTCTTGTTTTGCTTAGTATGGTGCATTTAATAAACCGGTAACTTTTATTTCTTTCGTTTTTCAAACATTAACGTATATATGAAGTCGATCATCGATAATCCTCAATATTTGCAATAATTGTATTTTACTTAACGTTCACAAAGACCATAGGAATATAGCTACTCTTTAAAACATAGAGTAGACTGAAACTATGCGCTCCGCCCCCGAATATAGATAATGATGCAAACTTGAAGGGACTAACTTAATTCAAATGCTGGATAATCCATATAATGTTTGATATACAGAATAATGTTTGATATACAGAATAATGTTTGATATACACAAGTATCTGACATAGGACAAGACATTTCCGACATTTTCAGTTGTACGAAGAGCTAATCGAAGACAAGCAATCGTTTCTTGTTAAATCATTTCATGAAAATGTTCACGAATGACAATATTTAAAGTATCAATGCAAAATGGTTTATATACATATCATAAATGAAAAAATTAATTTAGACAACACCATGCAAGAAGAGTTTTCTCAAGAAATATATTTCTCATAATACAATTAGTTTGCGTGTCCACTTCCGACAACGTAGTTCATAAAATTGTCATGAAGAAGAGAAAGTATACACGCTACCAAAGCTAAAGCATCGTGAAAACGTTAAATATAACACTGTCGAGATTCTGCATGTATGAAAGTTTAGTTGTGATTAAAAACGCAGCAAAAAAAAACACTCTAATGCTATAGAATTGTTTTAGTCCGTACAGTTACTGCCAACAAACTTTATGTTTTTTGCGTGAGGGGTAGAAAATCTTTACTTCTAAACTAAATCGGAGTACTGGTAAAGGGAGATAGAAATAAGTTACATAAACAAACTTTCGGCAATGAAAATTAACGTCTGACGCAATATAATTTTCTTAACGTTGTTAATATATACACCCTAAAAGAAATCACAAACTCAAGTATTTTTAAAGAATATCAGCCTTTAATCATGTAAAGAATACAATATAACAAAGTCTGGTAAACTTACAGACAAACCACTGATCTCCGATCACAGTCTCCAATAGGTATTTCAACAAGTGTATTTCTATAACGTTTCCGTCAGGTTAGAAACATCAATAATAACGCCTCGTTTGCAATGTCGTCATAAAAAGATTATTTTAACAATGTAGAAATTTCAAAATAACAGTAGGAAGTACATTTTTTTGAAAAAATGCTTTATGTTCTCCATGGTGGGGAGGGGGGAGAATGAATAATTTGTGGATTTAAATGTCCTTCAAATGTATGAAAAATAAATAGTAAGTTATTACATAGATAGTAAATTCACCATATAAAGTGAACCATTTATAAGTCTAAAATAGCTTGTTAATAAATCATTCAACTTCAATTTTCTTTCTCCTCATCGCTACTTTCAAACTGAATAAAAACTGGTTCTGGTGGTAGGACTTGAACACCATTTATTGGCACATGATGTTTCTTTCTAAAACCGCTGTCATTATGAGTCCACGATGAACTGCACGTTTCTTTATTAAATGATCCGACGTTTTTTCTACTTTCGTTTCATTCCTCCCACACGTTTCGCCATTTCGTAAACGCTGTTTATAGAAAATAGAAAATGTTGTATGATAGAAGACAATCTAAAGCAATGATGTAAAAGATTTTTGAAAATTATGTTAAGTAAATAGAATAGACCCATAGCAGTGCAAGGATAAGCAAAAAAAAATCAAATACATTTACTTTATTTTACATATAAATACCTCTAAAGTTTCTTCAAATGATTCATTATGCTTTTCTTGATCTGATTGACTTCTGTCTTCAGCAACAACGTCCCTGTTTTCTTTAACGTTTCTTTCAAATTTGTTTTTAAATGATTTATAACTACCTATCATTTGGCCGTGGAGGAGTGGGTAAGAATTCAGAAAACTCACTGCCACTGACAGTGGACATGATTTCTGGGTCATGTAATTTTTCTTCCCACTTTTTGTCGGAATAAATTGCTTGAAAATTTTGATCCTTAATTTGGTCTTGAAGGACAGGCGATGATTTATAATCTACTTATAACGCATCTGAATGTGAGCTGAGTTGCGATCGACCAGAAATTTTGTAATAAGTCGAGGTTTTAGCATTTTTAGCATGGAATAGTTTTGGACAGTTTTCAACAATGTATCCTTTACTATTACCAGAACCATGACTTTTAGCTTCACAAACTTTCATTTCGTGATTCATGTAATCTCGTGTACAGGTCGAACCTTGATATTTGGCTTTTCTTCTAGGTGGTAAGTAATAAGAGTCAACATCTTCATAATTTTCATGTCTTGACGGCGAATTTCGAAGGTTTATTGTCCAGGGAGATGGTAAAGGTTTTCGTCTGCGAACCGTCGAAGATTTAAAAGATTTTTTGTAGTTAAGTCTTGAGTGGTTTCTTGGCAATGATCTCCTTCGTCTACAAAGAGCAATGGTAATTTTAGAAATTTTAAAAACCAAAGGAAAAGACAACAGGGATGTATTGCTATCGCTAATTGGGGGGCTCTTATTCATATATTCATGATATGCTGAATTAATATCTTTTGACATGTATTGTTATCTGCGGATCTATAACATGCATATACGAATAAGAGCCCCCAAATTAGCGATAGCAATACATCCCTGAAAGACAACGTGTGCAGTTGAATTCAAGTCAGTGACTTGTACTGCAACCAAGCTGAAATAGTATAACTGCTCTGTGGTAGTACAACTGATCTGTAATAGTTTAAGTGCCCTGTGGTGGTAAGACTGACCTATATTACTATTGCTGACCTGCAGTAGTACAACTGACCTGTAATAGTACGACGTTCCTGGATGATCAAATGTTCTCACAATAACAACAGGTTGTTGATGATGAACACTAGACACATCATCGCCATATTGACTGTAACCCATGTTGGTATAATTTCTCACTGAATCACAGGGCATCATGTTTCTTGAACGGTGGTAATGTGACGCCATACTACGTGACGTCATTGTGGCTGTCTCCTTGGAAGACACGTTGATAGGCTGTAACCTCTCTGTACGTAGTGGAGCATTGGACTTTAGCTTCACATTTTCTCCACATTTATCATCCACATTGAAATTACCACTTTCCTTTTTTCTGTTTTCATGAAACTCTGAAGACTTCCATTCTTCAACAACACGATACTCATTAGCAACTCGTCCCACGTTAGATCCACGATTCTCGTGGGAAACAATATTCACGTCGTACACACGACTCTCTTTAGCATCACGAGTTTGATTCGCTGATACACCAGCATTTTCAAGGGTTTCACGAGACATTTGTAACCTGTTTCTTTTGATAACATTACTCTCTTCAACAGACCCATGATCTTCTAAGCTTAAAATAAGAACTTTGTCTGTTTTTACGTTATATTCAACTTCGCCCTTGCTTGCACTATTATCAATTTCATCCAAAGTATTTTCTCTCATAATTTTAGTAAACGTTTTAGCGTATATGCCTCCTTAAGCAGACTCTCTTCCATGAGATGTTGAAAATGTTTATTTTAAAACGACTGGTCATTTTTATTAAATGTGCTTTATCAATAGTGTTTTTACGCAGTTACGATAACGGTAATTATAGAGTTGGTAGCAATTGCTAAACATCTGGGATGTGACCACCATTTTCAGCCGGTGTAATATAGACTGCAGTTTTTATTATTTTTTACAGAATCTTAAACAAAATTGTGTTAACAACTTACCTCTCGAAAAAATATCTTGAAATAATTCTCTCTAATAAACGACCATTAAAGTTTGAAAAACAGATAAACCAATAGCAATGACAAGCGGAAACAGATCTTAAATTCTCCTTTTATTATTCCGTACAGTCCTTCTCGAGACTCAGTTCAACAAATATTGACAAAGAAAAGATATCCTTTTCCCAGTCTTCAAAATGTGAAAGTAGCCATATTCTTTGAAATATTGTACATTCATCCATGTTCTAGAAAAGTGGATAGAAACACGAAATTTGCCGATTCGAAACAAAGCATTTTTTGATAAATTTTTAGTAAAAGTTTTCGATAATTGAATTAAAGGTTTAGATTTGCAGACTTACAGATTAGGCTTCGGACACCGGCAAGAAAAATGAAAAGCCATTTCATACATACGCAGTACGAAACTACGAAACTAGATTATTTACGATAATAGTTATAGCCGAACGGTGGAAGATTTTCACACAAAAATAAGCATTCAACAAAGTCTTGTTTAATGTTTAAACTTTGATGTACAAGTACAGACCTGTAATAGTTTGACTTTCTTAGTAGATCAAAAGTTCTCACAGTAAGAACGGTTGTTGGTTTTGAACATTAAACACATTACAATCATGTTGACCAACATAGTACACCTTCCTACCAGTGTGTTTATTGGCTGTAAACGCTTTCTTTAAGTCATGGAACATTGGTCCTTAAATTCACATATCCTCCATAATTATCATCAATGTTGCCATCATTGCTTTCCTGTTTTTTGGTTTTCATGAAACTCTAGGTTAGACTTACATTTCACAACATGGTCCTCGTTAAATACACGTCATCGGGAAAAAAGAATTAGCTACGTCACCAACACGAAACGATTAAGTTTAAGCTGAGAAATAAAGTAAAACATTTACGTTATCAAAAGAAATATAAATTAAGTGATGGTTAAGTACTACAGTTGTAAAGTAACTTCGAGCATCTTTAAGTTTGTGTTGCAGATTTGATCTTTCATAATCGCAAATATCCATCAAATTTTATTTAAAGAAAACGAAGTTTCAACACCCTACATGGCCTAAAATGAAATTTTTCCACCTTTACAATTCGTAACAGGGGTTTTTTATTGAGTAAAAGATTGCTGCATTGATGGAGTCAACGACAATAATAAAATCTTCTATAGTGACTGATATCTTCATTATCAGTGTCTGTCTCAAGGCTCATCAAAATACCTTAAATTTCACACAATTTAACAGCGAATACATCCTACCCGAGATATTTCATAAGTAAGTTTTTTGATATTTTTGTTCACCATGTTAAGGCTTTTTCCCTGAAAATTGTCTGCAAAAGAAATTATTTCTATTTTGAGGTTCTAAAATTTACATTCAGAAATGATTTGGCTAATATCACCAACACATAAAGTGTACATGAATATTAAAAGCCAAACATTTTACCACAATGTATTAATTTGTAATGCATTCATTTTTGTCTAAGCTTTAAGTCGGGAATAACTATAGAATCACAGTGTAAATGTTGCACAAGTGACGGCAAAATCACTCAGTACTTAATTCTTATACTCTAATCATGAGGATATGAATTGACATGTCACAATTTCTAAAATAACTTTCGACCACTTGCGATGCACTAACTTCTTATTTAGATCTACTGGATGAAAACTGTAAGAAGTCATAGCTTTTGTATGATTTTTAGAACTGGAAAAAATTTTCCTGTTCTTGTGTCTACCTATTGTAGTAAAATGCTTTAAAGTCAAAGCAAACAGAGTCGACAAAGTTTAAAGATTCAGAGAAAGATGGTGCATAGTGCAATTGACATAACCAAACTGAGTATGTCGAAATTACATAGAACATAAAGATACTGATGACAAATGTGAACTATTATAACTAAACAAACATAACATGAAGTGTTTAAGACTTTGAAAATATTTTCATGCTTTCATGAACATTTAACAACTATGGTAAACGTTCTACTTTGTCAATTTTGTAATGTTTGTTTTTAGTTACATCAATCCTGTATTATGACTATTGTCCAGCAAGATATGAAACAAAACAACATACCAGAAACAAGAAACAAGTTATGTTTCTCATTTCAAGGTGATAGTTCAACAAACTTGTAACGAAAATTGTGATTCACTTTTCCACCTTAATTCACAATTTCACACCCTGAGATTCATGACCAGTGTAAAATGGCCTTTCAGCCTAGTTTATCACAAAAGAATATCATGCCTTTAGTAAAGTGAAGACAGCACATACATGAGCAGTGCATTCATATTCAAAAACTGACAAAAGTCTGTTTTGCAAATCTGACAAAAGTCAGTTTTGATCAATGACAGTTGCCCCACAAAAAAAGGTGGTTGCAATATCAGATCATCATTGATAAATTTAAACACAAACCTTCACTTTTAACAACATAAACAATGATGAAATATGACAAAATATAGTGTTGAAATAACCAAATCATGTTGCAATGACAGGAATGTCTTCAGGAAAACTGACCTGAAATTAGCAAATACTTGATTTAAGAAAGTAAAGTGCAGTTATTGTTTGACAAATATATATTGGCACATGATACATGCTTAAAACTGATCAACTATATAAATAGTCTTCAATACATCACAGTGTATGATGTCAATCACCAACAATTTACATATAAACCATTCACCTTTCCTTGAGCTTCAAAGATATAATCACAAACAGAGCATCCTAAAACACTTCTCCAATTCTTTTCCAGAAATATATCCTGAAATATACATGAAAAACATCATATGACATACAGTCACCATTTTTAGTGGACAATAATGTTGCGACAAATAAATGATTAAGGAGACTGGAACTATTGCATTCAAATGACACTTGGTAACACCTTTCTGATGTCAAAACTTTTAAAATTAACAATACCAGCGAATATCACACAATTCTCATAACATTTTTCATTTTATCTGTTACATTAATCATGTCACATGATAACTTCCTTATACCTTCCCTTTGTTCAAGCTTACCTTCATACAAAACCAGGAAAGGAGCCAGTCCTGGAGAGGAAATAAATATGTAAGTCATAACGTTATAACCAATACGGCAATACTTACTAACATTGAGAATCATTGTAAAATCCACAAATAACAAAACCTGGAAAAAGTTCGCAACATAAAATGATATTTCTCGTTTATTTAAATTAAAAAATGGTTATAAAACTATTTTCATTTAAGTTCATTTCGTAAATATTTATTATATTTCTACTAATAACGATGTTTCCATTTAAAAAAATTAACATTCATGTTACTAGTCCCCAGTCCACTTTAGACTCACCAACATTACCTTCTTATCTTCAGTTGATGTCAGGATTTTCTTCTCCATTTTTAATAAGATGACCCGTGTCTTCCATCCCGCACGCCTTTATTTCTTTCATAAGTAGTAGGTTCGGCAAAAAGGAAGAAGCTCAAATCGAAACCACCGAAACCATAGACTTCGCCAAATTCTACGTAAACCAAAGTTGTCACCCGATTCAAATAAATCTCCTTAAAAGAAGAAGTTGAAATCTAAGAAATCGATCAGGAAATCATGAAAGAAAAACATTTATCACTCAACAACAATGATTATTTATAATGACCAATGATATCACCCACGTTTCGATAAATTTACAAAAAATTTACTAAGGTTTGTTTAATTATTTTATTACTCTTGATGTCACAAGGTTACACAAACAAGTTACAATAACGGTTAACTTATGCGATGTCTTTCCGGATTTCGAGGCTGAAACGAACAAAGGTCCCATCAAATTTCACCAATTCTTAGGAGACAGGTTAGTGTCAAATGTCTCGAGTCATTTTCTTGCACAATCATAATCCACTTAAATTAGCACGCGCTAAGAATCATCAAGCTAACTCTACACAACTATTTCATGTAATTCTTGTCTGAACATAGAAGTGATTGTAACATACATTGTTTATGCCAACCCTTGAGAATTACAAGGTAAATCCTTCCAGCAACTTTGAATTTTGAATCGCGAACTCTGTACTGCGAATTTATAATAATCGTGGAAACTCCTTTTGATATGGGCACATATCAACGTTTCGTGAACATTTTTTCGAGTAAAGATATTCTCCTAACTTGACAAGATGATTGCTCTTGTCGTTAAATCACCATATAATTTGAGTCCTTGTAATGGATAGCATTCGTGACAAAACATTGAAAAAAAACATAGTCGTATTTGACATATTTATATTATACAAAATATAACTACTAAACCAAGCATACAAATGAATATGAAATAATGAAAGTACTCAATTAATTTACTCAGAAACTGGTGTCTGTAAAACTTGACTATTTTTTCTTCTGTACCTTTATATTGGCCACAGATGTAAATATAGTTCTATAGCTGTATTTAGTTGTAAAATACAGCTCGATCACTAATAATTATAATTTTTGAATACACCCTTTTCATGATATGTAGCGACGGAAATCATGTTGAAGATAAGGACATTTCTAAAACAAGTTCTTAGCTACAGTAGGAACTTTCGCAAAAAATTGCTCGAATCTTAAATCAATGAATAAATTCTAAACAAATTAATGCCTGTAAAAATAATAAATAAATGAACATAAGTTAAATGAATACATAGGTTTTAAATGACGCATATATATGTTCTTCATCACAAAGAGTAATCATTTAGTACAACGTGAAAAATCTTTGAAGGAGACATTTTCGAGAAGTCCCAAATTTTCTAAACCATATTTTAATCTCATGCAAACATAATACGTCTCGTTTTTCTTGGTCACTGCAGCAACTCCATACGCAAATGGTATCTTTTTGTTGTTCTCATCATAATAATACACTAGGCAACAAGATCTCCAGGCCGGAGGAATTCGTTATCACTCTTTACTGCCACTACATCACAAAACACTTCTTTGTTGTTGTTGTCAAAAAAGCTACGACTGAGGTCAGCAATGACGTTCAAGCCAAACTCGTCGCCAACTTTATGTCACAAAAATGGTTATTTGAAATAAGCAAACTACTAAACTACTAAATGCAATTATCATATATAATTAATAAATCATGAAAAATAATGCGATAATGTACTTAAATAATAAAAGCACATTTGGCGCCCCATAGATGTGTAGGATGTTTAATTAGAGAGCAGACAACCATGAACTGTAAGATATCAACAATTCACAAGGTGTACAAAAAAAATTAGAACATTTTTAAATGACAAGAACATTATCTTTATATCAAAATTTCTCAAAATGTGGCACGTCTAAGTATTTTCGCATCGCCTGGTTTATCTAAAAGCAAAAAATTAATCTTAAAAGCGGGAGAGCAGTTTGCAACCGCCATCGCAAAGAAAATGAGAAATTAAAAATCTAATTCAACTCGAAAAGTTGAAAGTTTAAATTCTGTTGTGTATTGCACGCAACGTGTATAAAATGAGCGTTCTGCCAATTTCACAGTCTTATTATTTTTATAGATAAACCAGACAATGCCAAAATACTTCGAAATGAACACGTTTTTGAGAACTTTTGATAAAATACTGTATACATCCTTATTCGCGGTAACCTTCCCCTGATTTGAACAGTCGTAAACAAGCACATGATGGGGCAGCAAATACCTATATGACTCGACATCTGAATGCAGTTACTTGAGACAATTCAAAGAGAAGAACCGAAGGCTGTATTGGTATATTGTGTAGCTTATTCTTGTCCTTTAGGTTTACTAATGGCTGAAGTGGCTCACTTTAATCTACCATAAAATCTTTGAGCGAGACTAGGTTTTACTGTCAGAACTGCAGAGATCAATGCCTTTTTTAAAAAAGTATGCAGTGTTGCACGCGGATAGCAGTATTTGATATAAACTGGAGCTCAGGTTTGACAAATAAAGTTTGATCATAGGCAAATATTGAACTTGTGATAGGTGCATAAAGGGGTTTTATGTTATGTACCTATCACACAGAGGCAGCGGGTGGATACACTTTCTACTGGAAAGGCAAACATTCTTCAGAGAAACACGAATCAGGAGTTGGCTTTGCTATCAACTCCTCCATCCGATTATCCGAGCTTCCAGTTGGACATTCGGACCGCATCATGTCACTTCGTTTGCCGTTGAATAAGCAACGTTCGCTCCATCTCATCAGCGTGTATGCTCCTACTATGCAGCATTCTGACATCATGAAAGATGCATTTTATGAAGATTTGTCAGCCATCATTCGCACTATTCCAGCCCATGACAAATGTATCGTCCTTGGCGATTTCAACGCTAGAGTTGGCAATGATTTCCACACCTGGCCATCCGTTCTCGGTCACCATGGCATCGGCAATGTAAATAGCAATGGTAAT